CGTTACATCCTTATCTTTATCCTACCATAGTATAATAGTACCATTCTTTTTCTCTTTCTGTCACATGTTGACTCACCCGTGGTCCTGCTAAGGGCCTACTATCAAGTTATCAAGGAATATGCACAAAGAATTGGCCTGAAGAACTAGCATCACAGTTCACTCCTTTGAGGCACTAATCTTTCTGCTTAGGGTACTGTTGAACGTCTAAAACATAAATACTAGATGTCTTGTATCTAGCCATTTTAGGTTTGGAATTCTGTTATCCAAGATGCCAAGCATGTAACATGTCTATGCATTGAATGCCTCCTATCTGTCTTTTTTCTCTAGTGTATTTCTGTTGTTCTCGGGCAACGTTTGTTAGGGTGAGGCAATTGTTACTTTCTGTTTGCTCAAGAATGAAATAAAGACCAATCACATTTTCATCTGTTGTTTGGAAAGCATATTTTCTTACATTTGAATTGCTATTTCTGATCTATGCAACAGGTGTACATATATTCTAGTGGAAGCAGGTTGGCTCAAAGGCTAATTTTTGGAAAAACGAACCATGGAGACCTAAGAAAATATTTATCTGGGTTTTTTGATACCACAGTGGGGTAATGTTTTTATATTGATATTTCATATTTTCCCTTGACGATTCCTGTCTAAAGATACACATTCATGCCAAACTCTTTTGCAGGAACAAAAGAGAGACCCGCAGTTATGTTGAAATTTCTGAGTCACTTGGTGTTGATAAACCATCAGATATTTTATTTGTCACTGATGTATATCAAGAAGCCACAGCTGCAAAGGCAGCAGGTATGAGCATTTTCTTAGTCCATCACCTAATATATTAGTTAAATTTTATCCACCATGTCTCAAACTTGTTACATTATCAATAAACTTAGCCCATGTTTGGGTTTGGCATAGCTTATGTTTGGAAAAATAATATATTTTTTTTCTTCAAAACTTGTAGAGTAGACAAAACTAAGCAATTATTTTTTAGAAGTAAATTGAACCGTATACTAAAAAGTATCACATAATTATAGTAACTGATTCTTTTCAATTGCAATGAAGAATGCGTAAAGTTAACCCTTTATTTGAATGTTTAAATTTGATTCATTACAAGTTTAAAATTGTTTATTACATGAAATAGAAAACTTAAGTTGGGAGGGAATGCCTACCTATTTGGTATCTTTTAAACTCTCTCAAGATTAGCAATTCCTTACTAATGAACAAAAAAAAAATGAGTTTAACTTCTATCCCCTGCAAGTGTATAATATTCTTAAATAGACATTCAATAGGAATTTAATTTATCACTAAATCATATCAAATTAATAAATAGGATGATATTGAGCGGTCAAATCCTATTAGTTCACATAAATTAAACTTGTTGAAATTTGATATCAATTATTTATCTATACAGCCCTTTTAGTCCTTCATCTACTTGCACCCATATTCACAGTGATAGATTTTGTTTACGTGTGTTTAGGGGCTAACTGCAAGCAAAAATCAAGATTTAACACCCTGCAGTTAGCATTTGTGTAGGCCATACATATACACACAAGTGGCAATGGTGTTAGTATGACCCTGAAATGGTGTGGTAGAGGAATTTCCCTAGGATCCCACTTATGTGACCAAATAAGAAATTGCTCATTTTGTCTGCACGTAGATTTGTTGACAATTGTCCTGTTTCAGGCTTGGAGGTGATAATTTCTATTCGACCTGGAAATGGACCCCTCCCTGACAATCATGGCTTCAAGACAATCAAATCCTTCTCGGACATCTAAGACTAGTAGCAGAGTCATCTTGAATGGCATTAAATGTGTTTTCATAACTAAGGATAGTGTAACGTTCACTTCTTATTATAAATAAATAAAATAATGTAATATATTTTGCTTGAGTTTCTCCAATTTTCAGTTTAAATTGCCTCTTTCAATATTTTTTTTAAAATGATTTAAATATAGTCACTGTACGTCTTCAACAGTATTATTAGACATTCTTGTTCACGAGACATTCCGAGCAACAAATTTTTTTTTATTAGTGAGCAGGTCACAAATCAAGAAGACTTATTTGGGGTTGTTAATTGATATTTTATAGATAAAAAATTATATTTGCACATAAAAATATTTATTTTATCACTTATTCAGGAAAAGAAAGTTAAAGATACAGTGTTGAAATATGTAATTTTTCATTTTTTTTTCTTAGTTTATTATGTAAAGAAGTATGTGCACCAGGAATAGTGCAACCTTTTTTAGATAAATATCTTTGCTAGTAAAAATATAATAACAAAGAAAAAGGTATAAGCCCTTTGAACTACACTATAGGCAAGTTGCGTAGCTCAACTGTGAGATTTTTCTTGTGTACTTGGTAATTTTGAGAATTTTGAGTTAGGGTCGTTTAACATATAGTTGTGTTGACTACTTAGAAAATTTTGCTGTTTGTCTTGTGAACGAAATTGTCTCCTAGTGCACAAAAAATAAAGATGCCTTCTCATATAAGTAATAAAAGAAAAATAGCCCTAATACAGCAAAAAGGAATCAAATTATGATACCCAATTTTCAAAAGGGCAAATATTTGACATAAATTTAACATCATTCATCTACCTTACTTTTGTTATATTTAGATGGTGAAGTGAACGAGGAAAAAGGACTTCCTTTAGCCTTTAACCTTTAACCACGCGAGGTGACATAAAGATTTATGATCAGGCTTCGTAGCGTGTTGGGAATTTATTCACGCATACCTTTTCTCTCCTGCCGTTTATTTTGAATTTAGAAGGTTTCATTTCTATGGAGTATTAAATGATTAGTCTTTGAAGCTGTAAATACGTCAACAACAAACATGAACAGTTCATACCAAAAAACACAATTCCAGTCAAAGTAAGTACCTATCAAGCTTTCTTCCATGAACTTGCAACATGTCCTAATCTCATCACGCCACAAACTTTATTAATTTCTTTTTATCTTGAAAAACACAATTTTCATCGGTCCAAGTCTCAAGATTTGAGTTTCATGATAGATTCTCTGCTTACATGTACAAAGTATTAAAAATTAAAGAAAATAACAAAATCCGCCTCCTATTTCCACATATAACAACGGCTAAAGGAGTATAGACAATATCCTAATTTAAATTAATATTCAACTTGACACATTCATTATATTATTTCTACCTATATTTTTGTTCTAAATGTTTCCATCATACTACTCATCTTATTCCATACTTTCTTTTTATTTCTTTTTGTTTTTGTTCAAAGGGTGTGAGCGAGCCACTCTGGTTGATGTGATCTCCAGTGATACAATGTTTCAAGGTCAAAAGTAGATGATAATATTTACCTGCAAACACTCCAATGCTTAAGTCACTAAGCAATTCAATAGAGTAACAATAAGGGTAATTGAGAACATAATATACATGTGACGTGAGATGCTATATATAGCCTTTAGTGCGAGACTTTAGAGAGAGAGTTGCTATCATGGATAGTTTGCTACAGGACATACTATGTTACGCATCAGTTGTTAGGCCTAAGCATGATAAAGTTATAAAGTTGTCTCAAACATGACAAAGTGGGAACTAAGTCAGCTTTGGAGTGTTTTAGGTTGGTCTAAGTGTAATGAAGTTGGTTTGAGTTTCTATGAATTCGGTTAAGGATTTCTTTAGAACAGTAATCCCCAATTCAGTATTATACTCGAGCATGATATCAGCTTTCAAGTAAGCTAAAGTCTTTCCCCGAAACAGTTTGTATCTATGTTGTAAAAAGAAGTTGTACTAACTTATTTAACAGATATAATTTCTGTAAAGTAGAAGGGGTTATTATCTTGCTTATATAACAAAAGGTCCTTGAAGTTAGTTTCAGTTTTGTTTGTTCTATACCATGTTGTCTAAGCAACTTGGTCCTATTACAAACCACCTAATTAGCTGCTATCTTTGTCAAAAAAAGTGGTGTACTAGATTATTGAAGTTGCACAAAAACTGGGAGGAAAAAAAATGTTGGCAGTTTATTGTTCAATGCACCAGCAGTTGGGTCCAACCTAGATGTACCTAAATGACAAAACAAAGTCTAAAAGGGAGAAGAAAAGAAAAAGGGTGGTCTTCACATTTTCTCTGCTTTTGTTATTTACATATGGTTTCTTTTCGGCCTTACTTTCTCTTAGCATCATGATTGTAACAAAAGTCCCACTTTCTCTATCTTATCTCCTCTCTTTGTCATTTTGTCTACCCTTCAATGCCTCCCCATTACAATATAAGAAAAAATCAAATCAAGAAAACAAGAACAAAGAAAGGGAAAATAGAGAGGGACAAGAAATCCTCTTAGCTGCTCAATTTTATAAATTATTGTTGGGAATCACATAGTCCATTTATTTTAGTTCTTGCTGATTTATTCAAATTGATACAACTCGAATAATATAAAATTTATGAATTTTATTAAAGTATGAAATACTCCTGCAATTTAAATGATAAAAGTTAAATGATGTCTGTTAACCAAAAATTAATAGTTAAAATATATAATAAATTATGAAAACGTTAAAATCTCTATTGATGGATATTGATCTACATTTTATTATTTAAAGTGTAACCCCTGCTTTAAAAGGAGTGAAATCTAATCAAAATTTCAACAGTAACAGGAAATAAAAATGAAAAAAAAAAAAAAGAAGTTCAGAAGATGTACAATGTCTAATAGTCCTGCCACTTCTGCATAAACATGTTAGGGATCAACAACTTCAATTCAATTTTTTAACTTTTTTATTTCTCATACCACACACCATAGTGTTATCTTCAAGTGTGCTTTCAAGTTATGCATATATGAAAAAAATTGGTGTATGTTTCCCTAGTGTACTAAGAAAACATTAGCCTCTATATGGGGGCCACTAAAAAAATTCTTATTATCAATAACCATACATCAGACCCTATACAGCATACAATTTTTATGATCAATAAACACATAGCATAGGTCCTAAATCTAGATTGTTGTGAGAAGTACAAGTTGGGTACTGACATTACGCATAAATGTTCTGCATTTAAAAACGATGCAAAGAAAGAAAAGTCGTATTTGCTTTACTTCTTGATCAGATAGGTACATGAAAACTGATACAGAAATGTTTTTTTTTTCTTCCCATAGGTGTCAGCAAAAGAGAAAAAAAAAAAAAAAAAAAAGCAAAAACACATTATCTGGGTTTTGAGTCACTTGAGAGACTGATTAGACTAAATTGGCATATAACCAAAAAGAGGGACCCCTCTCTCTCACCCTTCACCAAGTTAACCCACCCACCTTCTTTTTGGTGCATCTGATGACAACGTAGGATACGGTTTATGTCCTTTCCAACACTGATTTCCAGTAACACATGTGTCCCTTCCAAGCAACCTCATTCCCTTGTCTTCCTTTTCCCATCTTTGGATTCTCTTCATCTGAACACAAACTCCACTTGTGGTAGGTGTGACACAGCAATCACACACACAGACACTGTGAAGAGAGCCTTATTCATTGAATTCATCACACTCAATCAAAAGAGACACTCTGCCTTTTGTATGATTATTCCTAAGATCATGAGGAGATGGAATATGAAGAGAAAAATAAAATTCATTGGACAAAGACAAAGACCCTTTTTTTTGCTTCTTTCATTTATGGAAAGGAAAAAGATACCAATATTTTGTGGAGGGAAAACAAAGAAAGAGTTGCCACTTCATGAAGAAAAAAAAGCCACTTTTACAATTAGACCAAGCTTTGTACCTTGTTGATGGAGGAAACCACAAACCATTCAAATCATTCTCTCTATCTAAATCATCCACAACACAAGTCACAGCCTTGGACTTGGACACAAACAATCTCTTAAGAAGGTGATTGTGAGACTCTAGGTGAGGTAACTGGGAACAAAGGCAAGAGCTGGGGCTCTGAGTCTCTAGGAGTGGTCATGGGGGAAGGATGCAAGTAGAAGCCCTTTTCAGCTATGGCCTTATCCTCCTCTGACGAGTTTCCCAATGAAGGTGAGGATTTGTCAAAAGGGTCATCATTCAAAGGGGTGACAGGACTAAGAGCAAGGGAAGGGAAATCAAGAAGGCTTGGGGAGAGGATCTCAGGCTTTCTTGGTGAGAAGGATGATGGAGAGTTGTTGTTGTTGTGAGCAAAATTGGGCATGAGGGTGTTGAGCATGAGGCTGTTCTTGAGGCTGTTCCTCCTCTCATAGAGCTTGAAGCCTTGTTGCTTCTTTGGTGGGGTCTTGATGGGGGGTATGTTGAAGTTTCTAGATGGTGGTGGTGGATCTTGTTGTTTTGTGGTGTCTGATGAGCCTGTTAGCATTTGGACTACTTGCTTGAAAGTGGAGGTGTCAGCTTGGACAAAAGTTGTAGGGTAAGGGTTTGAGTCAGATCTGGGGATGGTTTTGGGAGTGAGGGGTGGTGTAGGGATTTGGATGCCATTGTTGCTGTTGCTGCTGCTCATGCAGTTGCTCACATTGCTTGTTGGAGAGTTCATAGGAGAAGGGTGGCTGTGACTGTGGCTGTGGTTGTGGTTCTCTCTCTCTTGAAGCCTTGAACTGATTTCCATGTGTGTCACCAAAAAAATATCTGTCTAGCACAAAGTATGAGAGAAAAAAGGGTTAGGGGTGATTTTGGTGGGGATTGGAGAAGAAATATAGAAGAGTGAAAAACAAGGCTTGGGAGAGAGAGAGAGAGAGAGAGAGAGAGAGAGAGAAGGGTTGAAATTGAAGCCTTGAAGGGTTGCTTATTGTGTTTGTGTTTTGTAGTTGTTTCTATACTATATAGTAATATTTTTTGGTTTCTTTTTCTAATACTATTCAAAGTTGAGAGCTTTAATGAGAAATAAAATATCTGTAATTGTGTGTTTTGGTGGGGCTTGGGGGGTGTGGTTGGTTGGCTAGAGAGAAAATGCCCCCAACAAGGGTAGGGATTTATAAAGAGAGAAAGGAAGGGAATTGGTAGAATTGGGAATTTTGGTATGAGGCATCTGTACCACACCACTGGCAATTTGGCAAAGCTATGATTATTATGCTGTTAAAAATATTTGTGGCATTGACTTCAGAGCCTAACTGCGGAGACTGTTGCATTTGCATACGTGATGGGATGGGATTCAGGATCAACCATAGATACATACACACATACATCACCCCATTGTTTCTTTCAAACACACCACCTACAATTCCTATTAACTAACTTAATCACAAGTTTAACTCTATTTTTTTAAGAGAAAATTCGTCTTTTTGTAAAAACTAAATTATCAAACATTCAAGTGTTGTTACGTTCGAGATCAACTAAGTGTAATCCTGTAATACTAAACATGTATTTTGATCGGCGATGAGTTAAGTTTACTATCTTTCAGAGTTTTGTATTTTTATGAATTAATTTATACATAAGTTACTAGTTTTTATTTATTTTCTCTGTATATCAGTGGTAATAACTTTTAGTAACAAAAGATGCTAACTTAAATTGATGTAAATAGTAGAAAATTATCATCGTTAAACTAAATGATTAGAGTTTGAATCTTAATTCTTACATTATAAAAAACTTAAATAAAAAGAAATACTCGGATAGAGCCTAAGAGATGATATATATAAAAATAAAAGACTACAATATGATACCCCTATCATATTAAAACCAAGAAATATATCATTTAAATGAGTATTTTTACATTTACAAAATTATTATTTATTGGTTACTCTTTGACCATGTCAATTTAGAATGATTTAATTTGATAGAAAATAAATGAATTCACATTTGAATAGGGCTTACATGAATCAATTCAATTTAAGTTCAAAAACAATTGGGTACAATTCAAAAGTTCAAATAAGATGAACCAAACTTTAATAATTAACAAATCAAGTCTTGCATTACTTTCCAATTAATCATGTTCATTTCCAATTGTATTCTCTCACCTTTTTTAATTTCTAGTAAAGGGTTATTGGTGGTCTAATTCTATATATGCATAGTAATAATTGGGCTATGGTAGAAGTCACACTCACATACATAAGCACGAGTAAGAGAAAAATGGTTGTTCAAAGTAAATTCCTCAAGCAAGAATAGAGTCAAAGTTTTGCTTTTGATTGTCTACCATGCTCAAAGACAGGCATTAGACAGATCTTATCTTAGTTTTTGTAGCAAATCAAAGAGTTGACACAGTTTAGAGACATTTTTTGGTGTGATTATAAGTAATTGGCAAGCCCTTTAATATTTTTCCTTCGAATATATTGTAAATATTCTACTTTAATGGCTGACCCTGTAACAGCATGAGTTTCACTGTATCACCTTTCTTTTTAATCTGTGATCAGGAGTTTATAACTAATAATTTTCGAATATACAAATATTCTATTTATTACACCAAAAAAAAAAAACTTTCTATTTATTAAGTGTTTGAATTTTATAGATTTCTTTTATTAATGAATATATACATGTTGCTATACCTGGCAAAAATACGTTAAATTAGTTTAAGGTTATTTTGAATCGTATAATAAATAGTTTTACATTATTAATTAATTATTTTACCATGCATACATTATTATCTATGATGACAATATAAAATATTTATATTATCAACATATTTTAATTACATTCAAAAGAGTATATGTAAATTATTAGAGCTGTATTGAATTTGAGTTCTAAATATGTAAGTATACGTTAAATAGTTAGAAAAAGAATTTTATTATATAATTATTTTTAGTTTGAACAGGAATATCTTCTATACACAATACTTGTGGCATTGTACGAAAAAGGAATATATGCTATTTTTTTAAAAAAAGTATTTTATTGAATGAAAAATTCAAAATGAAAGAGCCAGGCTAATGATAAAATAACCTAGTACTCTGTGTTACGTCACTAGTGTACATAATCATAAGAATATTAAAGCTTACTTCATATTTTGTCAAATTGTTATACGATATTTAATGCAATATTAAACTATTAATATGTTATACATATATATTGACTATCTTATTTTCTTTGAATTGAAATAGCAATGTAAAATGATTTTAATTTGATAAGTATATATCTGTGTTCAAGTTCACAGGTAGTCCTAACTACTAATATTCTCAGAGATAAGATGGATGGGACTTATGATAGAAATCACATGCACACCATAGATATGCAAATATGAACTGAAAAAATTCTCTAGAATGAAACAAAAACTCAATCTGCAATTCAATATAAATATATACTTCAATGATATCATACTATCAAGACTATTCATATCCATATATATATATATATATAGCATAAAAAGCTTGCTTGTATTTTTATAGACGATATTAGAGTTAGATAAAAGTTAACTGAAGTCCACATTGAAGAAGCAGCATGTACTTATCATATAACTTTTTTGGTTCAATTCAAGGTACAAGATTAATTTTTTAAATTACTAAAAATTATTTTAAAAGTTAATCTCATTAATTATATGCTTGACCAACAATATTATGGATAGTATTAAACTTATTCTTGAATAAAATAAAATTTCAAGTTTGAATCTTGTATATGAAAAAAATGCAATTAGAAGAGAAGATTCCATTCTAACAAAAATTAATCATAAATAAATCAATAAATATTTCGTGTTAATGACATGATTAATTAAAAAAATAAAATATATGTTTTTTTTTCATGTACATGATTTACTTTTAACAATGTGTTTAACAAATATAATTATTTAATTTATCCCACTATATGACATTATATTATATTATTGGATAAGGAATTTGCTGAGCGGTTAATATGAGAGGATCCTATTGTTAGAAAAAGTATAAAAGTGAAATCCATAAATTTTATATGATAGATCCTATTATAGCTTGTTTTTTGTTTTTCTCTTTTATAATGAGATGATCCTCTCATGTTGGATTGTTCTGATTTTGAAATTTGAAAAGTATATATGTTGCATCCCAAAAGCTGGTGCTCTAAGAGTTTCAATGCTCAATTATTTGAATGTACACATCTTTAAGTTAATCCAAAATATCTTGATCCAGTGATTAATTAATTAATTAATTAATTAATGGCATTAGATTAATTAAGGTTAATGAGTGTTTTGTTCCTTGATGGGTTATGTGAATCAGTTCGGTTCCCAAAACAAAGTGCAGCAAGGAGCACTTGTGGGATTCCAAAACTTTCATTCTCCAAAGCCTGTTGATTGGTAATATGTAATTTCATATGCACTCTCCACTTGAGTTAGTGGTTTAGATTTTTCTTTCCACGCTTTATAAATCTTGAAAAGCAAAAAAGAAAAGGGGGAATCAAATTCTGATTTATATTATTATTATTTACATTGAAAAAGAGGTCATGGGGGGGGGGGACCAAATGCCAATAATAAGACAAAGTCACTGCTTTTATGAATTCGTTTAATTACTCATTAATGGATAATCATTATTAGGATCATGGAATCCTTTCTTAAACCCCCTTCTGTTATGCCTCATTAATTTCTCATAAAAATTAAAGTTATGAATTTATTACCGGTTTAAGTGCCAAAGAAGAAACGTACTACATTACTAGCCATCATTGTGATCAAATACAAATCATATTGCTTTGGATTATCAGCATGGTAAATAATCATATATCAATGTGCATAGCTGGGGAGAGAAAGTGATATATCATCTTTCTATATATTGTTTTAATTTAATCAGTGATAATTTTAAATACATAGTTAAATATTAGGAGAATTTACTGTACATACTAATTTTAATTGACTTAGTAAAACTGACTTCATTAAAAAACAGAAGTGGTGTTTAAAAACATCCTTCCAAAATATTTTCTCTTAACATAATCTTTGAGTATATGATAATCAGGAAGTTAAAGAAGTTTTTCAATGACAATTAATTTTGTTGAGTTTATGATCTCTTTAAAAAAAATTCTCATTAGAAATTAAAATGATAACAACAAAAGTTTAAATCTATGATTCTGTACATATTATTTCAATTTCTACCATTAAATCAACTCTAATGATTCTAAGACTATTTACTTTGTTTTTACATTAGTTGTTTTCTCCATACATCTGGTCAAAAATCTTGTTAATTAGGGAAAATAAAAATAAAATCATTTATATGAAAGAAGAAAAGAGTCTTCAAAAAGGGTTCGATGAGGTACTAAAATGAGTGAGATGGTTGAAGTTGGTCATGGATTTTAGAGAAAGTGAGATACCATGTCCACCTTCAAGTGGGAAATGAGTAAGCATTGAAGAATGACTAGCAATGAACACATGACACAGCGCAATACCAAATTATGTGATATCTTAGGCAACAAAAGAGACCATACTAAATTAAAGTTATTTCACCATCTATTTTTTTTTTTTTCTTTCTGAAAATGACCCCTTTTTTTGGTTCATCACCTCTGGTGCTGGAGACACATGTGATTGGAGAACTCCCACACTAATTTCAAAATCATCATCAATCAAAGATTTTATTAATGGAATAAGCCCATTGGTTACACCAGGGAAGATCTATCTTGTGTATCTATCTAAAGAAACCAAGACAAAGTATAACCCTCCATTCTCAAACACTTATTATTCTTATTACATGAGTCAATTTCAAGCTTCTTCTTGTGAAAGGAACATGAACCCTTCAAAAGGGTAAATAGACTAATTACTCTCCTAGAGTAAAAGTCTTACATGGTGAGGTTTCAAGTAAAGGGGTTTTCTTAATTGATGGAAAGTTTCTTATTTTTAAACCAAAAAGTTTACTTTAGTGCTTTTTAGTTACACACACAACACAAGTAGATATATATTGAAGCAATGAGAGGGTTATAGTGTCCTATAACCGCTGACACGCCAACACCCATTGTTGCATATATTTATATATCTCTTGAGACCACGTATTTTATTTTTTAAAAATTAAATTTTAACTAAAAATTAAAGACTAATCTTTTTAAATACAGAACCCCATTTAAAAAATT